TGTCAGGTGCGCGCGCGCAGATAAAGAGCAGACAGCAGGATGTTAGCTGCTCCGTATGTAGGCCACACGCCGCCTTTTTTAACTTCACAGTTTCGCGCTCAGCACTTTTATTCTCCGGGCAGACCTCAGTACGCACACTCTCACACACACCGGGTGACCGGACACTGGAGCACTTTGACGGGGGGGAGGGGGTACAGGGCGTCAGATCGGCGGTGGTCACATGCGCGCCTTCCTCTGCACGCACGACAGCTCCGGGGAAATTGAGGTACTGGGGGCGCATTTCAATATATGGAAATGACCGGGGGTGGGGTGGGGTGCGTGAGTGTGAATGTGGGGGGGCTCCGGAGATAAATCAGCTCCACACACACCCCCTCCGTCCTTTTCCACGCTCCTTTTTATCCGTTTCTCTCCTCCTCTCTCCTGCTTTGATGCTTTTTTAAAACAATCTTAATTATCCTGAATCCTGTGCGTAGGAACGTGCGATGTAAACCTATGTTACCGGTCTCACACACACTTACAAGGTTCCACACGCGGATGCGGCCTAAAACGCGCCCGCTTGTGTAAATGAAAGGATCCGATCTCCATCCTGCCAGTAACACGAGCACACACACCCGAACAATTCGCGCTCGGCTGTTTCCTGAATTTACACACAAGTGCGGAATTATTTAGAGAAGTCAAACCTTTCCATTAATTTCCATTAATTGTTAACTCGGTTAGTACCTGCAAACCTGCTTCTCTTATTCGTTCTGTTCGTTCCTGATCCGACACACCAAACACAACAAGAAACCATAAGAAAAAAACGCAGATAAAAAGCTCCAGATCCTTGTAATTCTTTTTTTCTTCCTGTCCTTCTTTCTTTCTTTGCGGAGGAATTTCAGGCTCTAGTCCCCGCACATCCCCGCGTGTAGAGAGCGCACACACACACACACACACTCACACCTTTTTTTTTTTATCCCACAAAGCTTTACAATAACGCGAGCGGGTTGGTATTTTTTTCTTTCCACAGCGCGCCCATTATCACATCTGGAGATGTGCGCGCACGCCGTTGCGTCGGAGCGGTGGTATTAGATGAAATCGGGCGGGATTACACGGCTATAGAGCAAATTATCAGAC